TGGTATCTTGACTCAGGAGCAAGTAATCACATGTGTGGTTACAAGCACCTGTTTAAAGATATGAAGAGAATTGAAGATGGTAATATGTCTTTTGGAGATGCATCGAAAGTGAAGGTCGAAGGAAAGAGCACAATCAGTTACTTGCAGAAGGATGGCTTGATTGGATCAATCGAAGACGTTTACTATGTACCAGATCTCAAGACCAACATATTAAGTCTGGGACAACTTACAGAAAAAGGTGCTTCGATACTGATGAAAGATCGAACACTGCATTTGAAGGACAAAGCAGGATATCTGATTGCCGTTGTCGAAATGGAAAGAAATTGAATGTACAAACTGAACCTGAGGAACATTCGAGAGAAATGTCTGCAAATTAAAGTGCAAGACAAAGCGTCACTATGGCATATGCACTTTAGTCATCTACATCATGCTGGTTTGAGAAGGTTGGCGAAAAGGAACATGGTGCATGGACTACTAGACATGGATTTCGAAGGAAAATTCTGTGAAGAATGTGTGCTCAGCAAACAAACAAGAACCTCATTTCAAAGGAAGGCAGAGTATCAAGCTAAACATATTCTCGAATTGATACATACTGACATATGTGGGCCAATCACTCCAGAATCCTTCAGTGGAAAAAGGTACTTCATTTCTTTTATTGATGACTTCTCAAGAAAAGTCCGGGTCTACTTCCTGAAAGAAAATTCTGAAGCATTAGAAGTGTTCAAAAAGTTCAAAGTAATGGTAGAGAAGGCAACAGACAGACAAATCAAAGCAATTCGATCTGACAGAGGAGGTGAGTATACTTCAATGGCCTTTGTGAAGTACTGTGAAGAACAGGGCATAAGGAGATTCCTAACTGCACCATATTCACTTCAGCAAAATGGTGTGGCTGAAAGGAAGAACCGAACTATTTTTGACATGGTTCGATCAATGCTCAAAAGCAAGAACATGTCGAAAGAATTCTGGGCAGAAGCAGTACAATGTGCTGTTTATATTCAGAATAGATGTCCACATTTGAAGTTAGAAGACAAAACACCACAAGAAGCATGGAGTGGACAGAAGCCAACAATTTCTCATCTCAAGGTATTTGGTAGTATAGCTTATGCACATGTACCAGATCAACGAAGAACAAAGCTTGAAGACAAAAGTCAGAAGTACATATTCATTGGATATGATGAGAAGACGAAAGGGTACAAGCTCTTCAATCCCATAAGGAAGAAAGTGATCGTGAGCAAAGACGTTCGAATGAACGAAGCAAGCAAGTGGGACTGGAACAATTCGACAGAGGCTGTTGACACAGTCGAAGAAACAATTGTAGCTGTACCAACTAGTATTCCAACAGAACATGAAGAAACTGAAGATGAAGATGAACCTCTACAACCAAAAATGAGAAGTTTGCAAGATTTGTATGATTCAACAAGTGAGGTGCATCTTGTGTGTCTTCTGGAAGATGCTGAAAACATCAGCGTCGAAGAAGCGTTACGAGATAAGAAGTGGAAAAGTGCCATGGACGAAGAGATTAGAGCAATCGAACGCAACAATACTTGGGAGCTAGTCGAATTATCAAAAGGAAGTCAACCCATTGGTGTAAAGTGGGTATTCAAGAAAAAGATGAATGCTCAAGGAGAAATCGAAAGATTCAAAGCACGGCTGGTTGCGAAGGGATACAAACAGAAAGCAGGAATTGACTATGACGAAGTGTTTGCGCCTGTTGCAAGAATGGAGACAATTCGATTACTCATTTCTCAAGTTGCTCAGTTTAAATGGCTAATATTTCAAATGGATGTCAAGACAGCATTTTTGAATGGTGTGCTCGAAGAAGAAATCTATGTCGAACAACCACTTGGATATATGAGAACTGGAGAAGAGAAGAAGGTGTTGAAACTGAAGAAATCACTGTATAGGCATGTAGCAAGCAGAAACCAAGCAGCGGATATTTTTACAAAATCACTATCAAAAGAGGTCTTCGACAGAGGCAAGAAGATGATAAGAATGCTGGATGGAAGAAACATTTAAGTTTACAGAGGAGTTTTGTTGAATAAACATTAAATGTGTTAGTAATAAAGTTTTACATTAAACATGGTAGTAGGAAGGACAAAAGTTTTAGTAAGTTATTAGTAGCAGTTATGTTTTAGTTTATGTTTTAGAATTGTAAAAGTTATTTGGGTCTATAAAAGACCAAGAGTGTATTTTATTTTATAAGAGCAATATACAAGTATTCATACAGAAGTCATTCGATTTTATAACACAAACGTATGGAAGGATTGAAGCAATTGCTCATCTCATCCATCGAGATTATTCAGCCATAGTGAAAGACTTTGTTAAACTCGGTTTCATTCCATACGCCTGCTGAGTAATATGGTATGATACTGGTAGCAAAAACTCCTGGAACATACCCTTCCAATGAGTCAAAAAGTAGACGAAATAAACTTTCAATGTGAAATTTACAGCATGCCATCATCTTTTCAACCTGTTTTCTGATATCAAAGGAAAAGAAAAGAAAGGTTAAAACCGAATAGAAATTTCTTCCATATTTGTTCTTTTTTTATATCAAGAACCGTAATGAATTCAGTCATGGAACTCAAGAAAAAATGCATGATATTCCTATTTATCAAGACATGAGATAAACGAAATTAAACCATTAATATTATAGGTTTGGTGTTGCAAGGGGAAATTGCGTCAAACCATTTTATTACTAACCGAAATAAGTGTATATTTACCATTTTTACAACATTTTATCACTCACAAAACCAACTCATGTTAACAATAAAGCAGTGCCCAAAGCATCTTAGCTGGGGAAAAGATAGTGCTAATAACATGCATGCAAGAGAAAAAATAAAATGCACTTACATTGGCAACTCAACATGAGGTTCTGGAACTTGGTTAATCTGAAGCCAAAGGTGACTTCAAAGATAAAGGAGCAACATGTCTTGTCATGGAGTTATGTTGTTACTCTCACAATACAGGCGATAAGCATATGTTTAACTTAAAATGACATGCTTGGTAAGATAGAGGATAGGAATACAACAAGATGTTGGAAACACAGGATGTATTTGATAGAGTTGAGGACTATAGCATAACATGATAAACACAGGATGTATTGACAGAGTTATATGCACTTTATGAAGGTTAAGAGGGGAGGTGTTATCTTGTTAGTATTTTGAAATTATTATGTATGAACAAAATTTTGGTTGCGCTATATTTAACAAGAAACATCGTGGTGTCGTGGTGTCGTGGTTTGCTTGCATGTGCAATTGGTGAGAGGCTGGAGGTTCAATCCTCCCTTAAATATACACATAGACATAGACGTGTATTTCATATCATCCTTCATTAGTTCTCACTCGACTATATATTAAATTTATGAAAACAAACATTTCGATAAAATATACAAGGGTTTTTATCGGAAATTTTGAAATTGTTGATAAAATTTTCACGAGAATTTATCATAAATTTCTGATATAATTTTGAAATTTACCATAAAAACTAATAGAAATTTCAAATTTTCTGATATTTTTCAAAATTTTAAATATAGTTTTGAAATTTCCAAGTAAAAATTTATGAAAATTTTTACTAATTTTTTCAAAATTTCCGATATAATTTTAAAATATACGATAAAAAACTCTACTTTTTGAAATTTAATAACTTTAAATAATGGTATAATTGTAAAAGCGAATTTTTTTTAGCAATAACCATGTTTTGAAAAAAAATATATATAAATAATTATATTTTAGAGAAATTTACGCAAATGATCAAAAAATATTATAATACAGTAGTCATCTGAGATGGCGCATGCATTAATTTTTTTAAAAGAGGCGCCAAGTTAGATGGCGCCTAGCGATCTTCTAAATATTTTTTCAATTTTTTCTATTTATCTGTGGATTTTCTTGCAGAATTGACTTTTCCTATAGATTTACTTTTGGAATTACCTGCGAACTTTTTCTCCCCAGGTAATTCGGTAGGGATATACGCAGGTAAATCCGTAGGTAATACCAAATTTGAAGAAAAATCCACAGATAACTGTAAAAATTTGAAAAATATATAAGAGATTTCAAGTGGCACTTTCTCTTTATTTTTATTTTTTTTTAAACATAATTTTCTGTTAGACATAGTTTATGTATTTTTTTTTTTTTCAAAACATGGTTAGTCCTGAAAAAAAACATTATGTATATAGGTATAAGTCAAGGTATAGGTTTAAGTCAGGAGGGTACAAGTTAATTCCTAAAAGAAACATAATGAAAATGAGCTAAAATTCAAAATCGGTATAACACTCACAAAGATTCAGCAGGTCAAATACTTCTTTTGTTACTTTTTATGTTAAAAAAAAAATAGGCCACCACTCCAACTTTTATAAAAAATTAATGTTTAAAAAAATTTAGCAACTACTAAAATATAAATTTACCTTAAGATTCAATTGATTCAATTATCCAAAGATCAAAAGTGTCAACATACAATAATATGCATGCTTGTCTATTAATAAACTTGGCAAAATTGTAACACCAAAAGGGATCCTTTATTATTTTGCAGTGTATTGGTGTATTTTCAAATTATGCATAAATATATGAAATCAAAAAATAGATGACAGAAACATTAATTAGTATTCGGTATCAAATACGTCATTAATTAGTATTCGGTATCAAATACGATATCTAAAATTGAGTTTTCAAATATCATAGCTCTAAGTAAACAGTAGAAAAATATTATAATGTTCTTAACTTTTGAAGATCCAAGCAATACAAATTTTGAATGGTTACAATCTTCAAACTAAGTAGAATTGAGATGTTCTGGCTCGACCAAACCATAAAATCACATTTTCTGACATATGCCAGCACTGCCCTTCTTCCAAACAAAAGGAACATGAAAATAAATAAACTGTATATAATTTTAAAAGGTTTGAGAACTTTTTTTCTTTCAGGTACAAATAATTCAAGGAAATGACAATCAAAATTTGGTTTCTCATATAGCAGCCTCTTTCGCCTACCACTAACTAACCCAAAATGCAACTACAGTACTGCTCTTTGCCTTTCGCCAGCATCGTCACGTTCCACCTGAAAACAATGAAAATCAAGATTGAGATATTGGGTTTAGAACAAAACAAATTTAGGTATCTCATACATCTCTAAACTTCATAATCATCAAACAAAGAAAATTACTCTAATAGGGGAGCTCATTTACATTTACACCATACAGAACTCAAGCAGTCGCTTCAGCATAACTTTTTTTTTTAAGTTAACGTTAAACTTAAGGTTGAAATTGATTGCAGCCTCTTATTTTTCTAATTTTTTTCAAACACGAGAATACTAACCACAACATCACAACAGTGTGCTGGGAATAATTATCTGTTACAACTTTTTGAATGTAACTTTGGTAAACCAAACACAACCAAAACAACATAATACATCACGAAAGAAAAACAGAAGTCATAGGAGATTGGCTGTCGTCAACATAAAAAAATGGAGGCATCAGCTTTATCTTCAAACTCAAAAACAATATTTTTGCACTCTACCAAACATCATTTATCTAGCTAGTTGAAAGCAATGAAATTTCAGTTTAAAGCATTGTATATTTACAATCAGTAACAGGTACCCTTCAAATTGCAACAAAATATTGAGAATTGTATACACCAAAATTCCCACAGCAGTATAAGACAAAATACACAATAGCATTTACAAGAACAGATAGATTTTTACACAAGGAAACAGTTTTAAATTACCTCAACGAGGACCCTTGTTTTCTTTGATTTAGGATCAAGGCCATCCTTTTCAAGTTTCTTTGAAGCTAAAGTCGATTTCCTTTTGGCTTTCCTTTGATCACGAGCTTTAGTTTCTTCATCTTCAGCGCTTCCATCTGCAAAAGTAGATGTCCTCATGTTATTGCTTCTTAAATGTGTACGTTTCATTTAATTCCAAACCCACAAACAGAGTGTTCTTCTCACGTGACATGGTGTCACCTCCAACATATATGTTTCATTTGGATTGAATGTAAAAAAATAACGGAAGAAAATAAAATGGATAGAAAGCAAATGAGAAAACGATAGAAAAAAAAAGTATAATCTTCTTTTTTGCTTGTTTGGTTGGATTGACAGTGAAAAAAATGAAAGTGAATAACTGATGTAATATATCTTTCAACTGTAATAAGTAAGAATCAAAAGTGAATAACTGATGTAATATATCTTTCAACTGTAATAAATAAGAATTAAAAGTGAATAACTGATGTAGTATATCTTTCAACTGTAATAAATAAGAATCAAAAGTAAATACATGGGTAAGAATGGAGGCTGCCAACTCAAAACAATGTTGTGGATGACAGACCATGGAAAAAAGCCAAAAAATCCGACATACTGGATAACAAATGGCACAACCATATCCGTGTGTGGAGCCATGGTGCAGCCGTCCTTCACAAATTATTCATATCGGTTTTCAGAAATCCCACTTATATCCACCATGGTCGATATTACAACACTGACTCAAAATTTGAGTTCTCTCTACACTTTAAGGGAAAAACTTCAATGTGGGCCTCGCATTTTTTTCCCTACATATTTCTTCCCACCAACACCACAAGAGAAAAAAACTGTACATTCTTCTCTAATTAGAAAATTTCCCTTCTCCCATTTTCAACCCAACTAACCAAACAAAATAAAGATGAAATAACCAATAGTATGGGTAAACCATTTGTATGAATAACTTGAAACAGCCAGCAGAAGACTCATGAATCGAGTTTGTAAAAATAACATTTAAAGTACAAAGAATAGGAAGATCTGACTACAGTATCTAGAAGTGAAAAAGATGACACTGACTAGATTATAAAATATGCAGTAAATAAAATTCGTATCCAAGACATTCTGCAGCTCGAAGAAAATGATTTCACGAGATGCAGCTCAATGTAAACAATTAAACAATATCAGTGACACACTTAACTATCATACCATGCATATCTAATTAAGAATCTTTTGTATTTAGGTTTTGGTTGCGCAAAAGCAAATTCCTCGATGAGCGAAGCAATATTTCACGAAACATTTTCATAACCTATTTCACATATATTTTAGCATGAAAAGAAAATACTACATGCAGATTGTAAAGCTTCTAAACTAAATGTTACCATTTTCATCATCGCTGTCATTGCCCTGTGACTCATCAATTGCATAAGCACCAAAATCTTCTATGTCATCTTCCTCTTCAAGTTCGTCATAAGGACCTTCTACATATTCTATTTCTTCTTCCTATTCAATTTGAAAAAAGAAAAAGAAAAAAAACAAGGTCAACAAATTACCAAGTTAATTTACTAAAACTTTTGATCTAGACAACACAGACTAGCAAAATGCATTTTTGATATAAAATATGTACCATTTCATCCTCTTCTTCAGCAGGTTGACGTTTCTCCATTTCAATAATCTTGTCATATTCTTCAAAAGGATAGTTGATAATATCATCTTGCTTGTAAAGCCCTTCTTTAAGGCGTGTCAATAGCTCTTTCTCAATAGACTGAGTAATATTCAAAAGCAACAATGAGGAAAGCAAAGATAACATACAATTTAATGCACTGGGTAACATTAGGATTAACTATAACCTTTTCTAGCACAGCTGCTTTTTCGGCCTTCTCTTCTCTTCTAGCTTCTCTCTTTACCTCTTTCCTTGGCAGTGTCGTTATTTTCTCCCTATAAGACAACAACAACCGACATGATCAATGAGGCTACTTTTATGGAGAAATTGATATCAACAATCAATCAGGCTAATTTAATTTTTTTTATGAGGAATTAAGGGTTGGAATTAAAGTCCGATAAGAGTGACACCGTACCGATGCTCCGCCTGATCCGCCAGCTTTTATCAGCAACGAGGTAACACCGGTGGTTCTTACGCTAAGGCCGGCACTGGCGCGGCCGTGCCCTCACCCGCACTCTCGTCTTCTCGGAGGTTAGTTAGTTTCTTAGGGTTTCCAAATTTATGTATTTGTTGTTTTCAGTGTGAGTTGGTGTATATTTGTTTTTACTGGGTGTGATGTTTGTAGAGACCTTTTCATATTTAAGCCAACATTATATTATATGATTTTCTTTCTTTACTTTTACTTCAACATTTTGATACTGGTTGTTGTTTGTGTTAGTTTTAATAAGTCTAATAATCATGCACAAGGTGGAACACCTTGGGTAAACCCTACCCCGGCAAATGCGAATAACACCAAATGGTTCTCATGTACAGCCGCAATTTCATGGTAAGCTATATTGAAATTGAGTGTTTGGTAAAATGTGATTGATTGTTTCTAATGGATGAAACTTATCTATGTTTTATCATAGGAGGGTCTGATGCATCAGGTACAAGTGTAACTACCAAGCCATCTGAAACATCAGCTGCCCAGAGGTGCACCAGGGTTGTGGGAGTGATCTAATTTTGCTATCTTCCCCAGGAGATGCATCCAAAGCATTCCCTTTCCAATTTGGATCTATTAGTCCTGGCATTATGAATGTGATGACTGTAAGTTTCTTATCTGCAAATTACTTCACATGCACCTGAAGTTAGTATTACACAATGCCTAGAATTTTAGGGGGAATTGATCGCCTTCTGCAATAATGTATGCAGATTTCTGCTCGCACAAGCTCGGCTCCTCCTAATACGGCCTACGTACTAAAATATAGTAGATAAAGGATACGAAGAATTGCGACACAAATGTAAATTTAAAATAGGGTTATTTTATTAGCTTAAAAAATAGATACTGCAAATAAAAATGATAAACTCCGAAAATCACAAACAATACTACAGATATGCAAGCATAGAAGTAGACACACAAATAGAAAACGATCACAATATACCAAATATGAGATCATAACAAGACAATGTAATCAAATAATATGCAATTCAGAGCATCTGTTTCACAAGCAGCTTCAAGATTTGTAAGGCACTACTTAACAAGACAAAATATAAGGCAAAAGAGAATAAAGTCACAAACCTTGTTTTCAAAGCAAGTTTCCTCATTCGTATACGCATCTGGGTCATTTTGGTCAATCGTTGTTTTATCTTGTGTATAAGAATCTTGGGCCAATACATCTGTCAGTACAGCAAACGTCAAGCAAGCAACCAATCTCAGCAATTACTTACAAACAACGCATCAATTATATAAATGTTGCAGTACCAGATTTTTGTCTATGACTTCAAGCGCCTGCTCGTAATTCCTGGGAAGCTTAACTCTTTCCCATAAATCCTTCGGCATATGAGCTCTTTCAATAGTTTTCATGTAAAGGTAAAACACGCCTACAACACATATTGCAATTGTATCATTACTTGCATTCTTTACCATAAAAATTATGCAGTTTTTTTTCATATTCCATAAGCATTCCATAGCTATGATTCAATTTCTAGGTAAAATCTAACACAATAAAAAAGATGAGTGAGTAGAATGAAAGTACCATTGTCTTCACGAATGGTGGCATAGCGACTATTAGCTAAAGGACAGGAACTTCGGTTGCAAATTCCAGTGATGCTGTAAGGGTTTCTACAAAAATTACCTGTTGTAATTCTACAAAAAATAAAAAATAAACGTTAACCGTTGGAAGTGATAGCAAAAAAAAACGATAAAGAAGAAAAGGAACGGATATGAATAGAGTGATTACTTTGCCATGAAACTGCAATGGTTGTGCCTGATAACTTGCCATATGACCTCGTCGTGCTGCATCTTGGGAATGAAATTCCTAGGGTTTTTTACTTCGGGGTTGAGATTTTAGGGTGAAAACGGAATAGAGTAGAGGCGGTGCGGCTGAGGGTGTTAAGCGGCGAGTGCGACGGCCGACGAGAAGTATAAAGGAGAGAAACTGGGCTAGGTTTTGAGAACCTTGCTACTCTACACTGTTGCGCTTCTCTCTTTTTTATCAATAAAACGACGTCGTTTCGTCAGGTTTTTTAAATTAAAATAATAATTAACGATTTTGTATATATTATATTAAAAGTAGTGTGTTTTGGGTTGATCGGTCTAAAATAATTTTAGGAATTTTTTTTATTAATAACCAAGTATTAAAAAAATATTTCGCAAATAACCGGGTTTCGGAAAAAATTACGCAAATAACCATGTTTGAGATGGCTCCACAAAGGAAGAGCCAAGTCATTTGGCGCATGCACCTAGGGTTTTGCCCTAGGCGCCATCTCACTTGGCGCCTCCATTGGCTTTTAGCCAAGTGAGATGGCGCATGCTCCTTAAAAAGGAGAGGAGGCGCCATCTCACTTGGCGCCTAGGGCAAAACTAGGGTTTTTTGCCGTTTTATAAATAATTCGTCCGTTTCTTTGAAATTTCTCACACTTTCTCGCACTGTATTTTTATTTTGTACTCCCTTATTTACGTAATGACGTCGCCTATGATTTTTAGCAGAGATGGTTACGTTATATTCTCCGCCACGAAACCCGCGATGAAAATGAAATTCTGGCACATTCACTCCATGGAGCGTCTGAAGCGGGAGTTGATGCGGTGGCTAGATGGAGACATCGCCGAGGGGGAAAAAATTCGAAGGATCCAGCGAAAACGAACAACAACCTCGCATGCGACAGGAAGACCTAATGTGTGGTTGGAGGAAGTCAAAACAGACAGTGATGTAATGCTGATGATGCATGGGTCAGATGAAATTGTGTTAACAGTTGTAATTTCCTAGATTGATTATCGTTAATCATTGTTGTACGCGAAAACCCTAATTTAATTTCCTAGATTGATTATCGTTAATCATTGTTGTACGCGAAAACCCTAATGTAATTTCCTATATTGAATTTCTTAAATTGTGTGAACAGTTTTATTAACGGAAAACCCATAATGTTTACAACACAAATATTGAAAAGATTTATTGTATTACAAAATTTATGTGGTCGAGCCAGACGCCCGATTCGGACAGTTTTTGCGATTGTGTCCGACCTGACGGCATAAACCACACTTTCTTTCCAACCTGTCAAGATCGTCCATTTCTGTTGTTATGCGCCTGCTTTTGGGACGACCCTTCTTGTTCCTTCGCATTTGGTCATTGTGCCAAACTATATCACCGCTGTATTCAGGCCAATAGTCCGGTTTTGCCACCAAAGGAAAGTTGTTGTTGTAAACAGTTAGCAACGTTTCAGATTTATAAACGTTTGATAGCAGTTGAAGCGCGTCTTGATGGGTATGCGCACAAGCGGCAATGACATGAGAGCAAGGCATACGAAAAGCTTGAAACCTGCCACAATCGCACCATTGAGAAGGTAAAATGACCCTGTATTCCTGTCTTGCCAGGCCTTCATTGTGGTCAATTGTCTCTTTCACAATGAAGTTGTGGCTATGGCGGTCAAACCGTGTAACCATGTGAGTGTTGGCTTTTGCACTTTCAGCCTTAATGTATTTCATACAGCTTTCACTCCACAGTTGTCCTGATTGCAAGACCGAATACCACATTTCACCTCTTTTGGCAAATAACGCAGCCATCCTAAAATACGTGGATTTCACCAAGGCAGTGATGGGGAGGTTTCGTATGCCCTTGAATACCCCATTCATTGATTCAATAAGATTTGTTGTCATATGCCCCCATCTTTGGCCATTGTCGTATGACCTAGTCCACTTTTCGACCGGTATGTTGTCGATCCACGTACCGGCTTCTGGGTTAGACAAACAGATCTCGTTGCGGTAATATTTGAATGTGGGCTGTGTCAGTGCGTATCCCGCATTCATCACCGCTTTCCGCAATGTTTTGTCCTTGACCTCCCTCGAGAAATTCTGGACGATATGCCTGATGCAATAGACATGCGTAGAAGGAGGGTCATGCCAACCATTTGTCGGATTATTATAGGCACTTTCAATAGAGGCATGTCTGTCCGAGATCAAACATAGATCCGGTTGAGGAGCCACGTGTGTACGAAGATTTTTCAGGAAAAAGCTCCAAGCACCACCAGTCTCCCCCTCGACAAGGGCAAACGCAACGGGGAAAATGTTATTGTTGCCATCTTGTGCAACTGCCATCAAAAGAGTGCCTTTGTACTTGCCATACAACCAAGTCCCGTCTATTTGTAGAATTGGTTTACATGATGCAAACCCTGCGATGCATGGTTGAAATGCCCAAAAGACGCGACTGAATATTCCGTTGCCATGTAGAACACTACCATCTTGGGCGTAAGCGGGCAATGTTTCCAGAACATAAACACTACCTGGAGAATATGTCTTTAGTGCATTGAGGTAGCGGGGAAGTTCTCGGTATGACTCCTCCCAGTTTCCATACACCCTTTCAATCGCCTTAGTCTTTGCTAACCACGCCTTACGGTAAGACGGAGTGTAGTTAAAAACTGTGGTGATGTGGGAGATGATTGTTTTCACCTTCAAAGAAGGGTCGTTGCTCACCAGGAAAAGCCCGAACGTATATTATGATACTTTTTGGTACTTTTTTATTTCCCGAAAGTACGGGAAATAGTGTAAATTTCATGTACTTACATTTACTAACCAATTTTGATAAAACTAGAAAATTTAGTTGGGGTTCTGCAGTATTAGCCCACCTGTACAGTTCCTTGTGCAAAAACGCAGTCAAGGAAAAATGTACATTTTATGGGTGCGCATTTTTACTACAAGCCTGGGGTTGGTGGAGGATGGAGTCCTTAAACCCCATCAACAACAACACTTTTGGTTTCCCTTACGCAACAAAGTAAGTCATTAAGTTATAGCATTTATAACTATTCTTCTCTTTCCAAAATATATGCTAAAAATAACATGTTTCTAATTTCCTATAGGTACTGCGTGAGGGGTATGGATTACGGCAAGAATCCCAGATTCAATGTCGCACTCTACCGGAATCTGTTGGATCACCTAGGCCCAGATGACGTAAGTCGTAGCTTTTAACTTTTGTTCATTTTATTTATTTATACATTACTTTTGCGCTTACCTGATTTAAATTTTATCGCAGTTCGTCTGGAGACCATATTTGGGTTTGGACCATTCTCCAAATCCAGAGGATGCAGCAACTTGGACTGCAAAGACTGCACTCATTCGGTTCAACATTGTGGAGATGCACCACAGCGACCGCGTGAAGATGCAGTTCGGAATGATCCAAGAGATACCAAGTGACCCAACAGATTTGTCCCCCTGGCATCTAAAAAGGGTCGACGCCCAGTGGAATCTAACCAACTGGAAAGACTTTGCTCCAGAATGGTGTAAAATGTGGCAAAGGCGTCACCGCTACATCTTGCAATCCCCTGTTTTCCTTACTCAAGGTAACATGCGACACACCGATCAATATATGTCGTGGTACAGGTCGGTTAGTAACCCAGATATGCACGTGTCTCATCCGAGGTACTTGGTTGACCCACGCACACAATGGGCACAACCCTCGATTCCCCACCAACAAACCCAAAATCCTTCAACCTCAAACCCACCCCCAAGAAGAAACAGACCAACAAACACACAACCACATTCCCCACCACAACACAACTACAACCAAATGCCGTACTACCAACCACAGTCACCGCCAAACTACCAATACCCAGATATGCCTCAAACCCAACCACAATACCAACCCCAATACCAGCAAACCCGCATACCCCATACACAATTTCAGTCTTCCACATATCCCAATATGGGGCCCTCAACATCCAGCCTTAGCCCTGATATGGGAATGTCAGAAGATTACGACCAACCCGACCAAACCTACCATCAACCACCATATCACCAAACAACCCAACATCCACAGTACCAAACACCCCAAGATCCATTTCCTTTCTACCCCCCATACTCAGACGACCAATGCTACCGACCAACCATGGAACCCCACCCACCGCCAACACGACCAAACTTCGAGGGCATGGGTAACCGACTGTACCAGAGCGGATCTTCGAGATATGGAGATCTTACTGATTTTATGGATTCGGATCGCATTGACTTCGCTGGGCCATCGACCTTGCCGCAACAGGAAACGAGACGGCACCCAGCAAGAGAAAGGCGAGGACGGGGATGCGGAACTGGGGGTCATTACCGGGTTCCTGGGGATCATTGATGTATCTTTTTTTTTTTCAGTATTTTTTGTATCTATTTTTTTACTGTTATTTAAATGTAAAACAGTTGAATGTAATTATTTTTTTTCAAATAAAAAATCAATTTTGGTTATCTCTGTCTAATACGCAACGCGCAGGAAAGGAAAAAAAAAATTTTTTTTTGACCTAATTTTCCACATAGGCGCCATCTCATTTGGCTTAGGGCTTGCCATTTGCCCTTAGGCGCCAAATGAGATGGCGCCTCCCTTATAAAAATAGGAGGATGCGCCAAATGAGATGGCTCCTCCTTTATGGAGCCATCTCAAACATGGTTATTTGCGTAATTTTTTCCGAAACCCGGTTATTTGCGAAATATTTTTTTAATACTTGGTTATTAATAAAAAAAATTCTAATTTTAGATCATCTAATAAAAGTATGAGTCGGTGAAATATACGTTTTTTATTGGTTGACATAGTAAAAATATTTATATCTTTTTTATTCTAATAAGTCAAAATAAACTCAACAAGTGAACTTACATGAGAGAATACTTCACTCAATGTATGGAAAGTAACAAAACCATAAGCATTTGAAGGGATGATTAAACTTTGATGTTGTCATAGCAATTCTCTTCTTCTTATCGGCAATTCTTGCTCGCTTTTTTTGAAGAGTGAGAGGAGTAGCCAGACGTTGAATCTTGGGAGCTTTGTGGCATACTCC